GAAGATTACACCCGAGAAGAAATCCTCCTCGTCCGCGGCAGAGCCCGCTCGAAATAGAGAATAGTGTATTCCTCCTTAGATGAGATTTTCATACCGTAATCGATCTCCCGTTGAGTTAAAATCCTGCCCGGGTGGACACACGCCCCGTGATAATGCGCTCCATGTACAGTACATCCGTCTGCAGAAGCTATCCGCTCGAAAAATCCCTGAGATCTCGCCGGCGAAGAGCTCTGATGTACGATTCGGAATCCTGAGGGAATTCATTCTGCGCTTTATACAAATCCCAGACTCTCGAGATTGTCGATAAGAAAGCGATTTGTCGATAAACCTCGAACTCACCATTCCCGTCGGCAACGTACTCGACGTATCGTCTGTGACCGTTGGGTTCAGCAATCGTGTAGCCCCCCATCTTGTTCCCAAATTCGTCGCCTATCTGAGGTTCAAAAGGGGTGCCATCAAGAAGCAGCATGATATTGATTCGTAGAATTGAGTAATGCATTCAAGCTTTTGCAGAGAATTTCTCGGAGCCTACCTCCCAGCGTCCGTTTGAGAAGCCGAAAGGATCCTGAATACTGTAGCTGAAAGCATAATTCCCTCGATCCTGGGGAATAGAGATTTTATTTGCAAAAATGCGATGACTTCCAGTGTCGTGTTCTGTCTAGATGGTTCCTCCCTCTCCCGGTGAAGCATTAATTATCGAATTCCCCTCAACTGCGGTGCGAAAACCACTGTACAAAAAGAGGAAACGCCCAAATCACGTCCCCAAAGTCCCCCAGACTTCTTCTCGTTTTCAATGTACCGCACCGAAGTCAGACTGATGTTATCGTAAGTGTTCTTTTGCTCGGCTCGCATTTGATCATAACGTGCGCTGTCAGTCAATGAGCGCTTTGTCGGAAATTCACGATCTTTAATCGCGGAAAGCGATCAGAGTATCTCTGCTCGAAGCGAAGGTTTTTGGAAGCTTTTAGACGTTTTCTCCTCGACGTATTTTTTCTGTGATCCTTTATATGTCAGAATGCTGTCGATAGGCGTTGTCTGTCAGTTCTTCAGTTCGCCGCAGAACTCCGACTAAGGTGACCTTGCAGACACACAAGCAGTGCCTCACATCATTTGACCTCCTCCCATTCGCTATCGGCCGGTCTAGTTCCAGCGTTACACGGCTGGCTAGCGGGCGGGCCGTCCGCAGGCTCGTGCCAGCGGGTAAGCAGCGGACAAAACGTTGGCTTGCATGTCGGCACGAACGGCACTATTATTTTCCGAAGAAATGATCCTCGTGTCGTTTTGAGCTTAATTGGCTGCTTTTCGAATGTTTGAACGACGGAAATTTTCTCATTCCGCATGGGGAGACTTTCGCGTGTCTGGCTTAGACGATGAAAGTGTAACGATGAAGAAATCGTTGATTACAGAAAACATGCAGTGTGGCTGGGACCGCAGTTGAGCAGTCTTTGATTCATCACCTCTCGCAAGGATAATACTCTCTACGGCTTTTTCTGACCCTCGATTCCGATGGTTCGAGTACAATGTGTAGGGTTCCATACGAGCGGTGAGATACCGCGATATGACTGAAGACTGGGAGACGAAGAGCCGAGCGATCGGATTCTTCAGCGTGAGCAAAAAGTCGGAACACGGAATGTTATCTTCGTTTCGGGGAAACCAAGGACCGAAACCAAGGACCGAAACCGGAGGCAAGGTCGAGGACCCCACAGGTTCCGGTGTTGAAACCGAAGGAGGGTCTACAAAGTTTTACACTTCTCGGAAAAGACATGTTTTGAGGAGGGCTTCGCCTCACCTCGATGGGGGCGCGGGTGAGAATTGGGGGGGTACCGAGTCCTGACGACGGAAGTAGAAAAAAGGAGGAGCGGTGATGACCGGCATTGAAGGTCCCATCGATATCTGTCGCGCAACCCGGAGTCAGAATGCTCGCGCACCGAGAGATATCGAGTCCAGCGCGATTCCCTGGGAGGAGCTCGACACGCTCCTCAAGATCCTTACGACGATATAGAAACTAGCATTCGAAATGACTTCTCTCGTCGCGCTCGGAGACATCATGTGATCCTGAACGCGCTTCCATGGGCGCGACTCCCATGGAAGCTGACAATCTGTACACCCACTCTATTGAGGAACGAGAAACATGGACCTGGCGATTGCAATACCTTCACATAATCGAAGGTTGCTCGCGTGCAACGTTCGCTGTGTCTATTATCATCAGATCTCTCGTGTGATTCGTCACCAATCGATAGATCCAACCTAATGTGGTTATCGATAAATGAGCTCGCAGAAATAAATATGGATTGGGAATATCTATGCTCACATCTTGTGTTCGATGCTGAAAACTCCGTCCGAAACTCGCGAGGGTTGATCCCAGCGCTCCGAAAGATATCAAGACATGCGTGAGGAGCAACTGCAACGAAAGCAGAACATTGATGAGCACTTCCCCCTCTCAGATCGAGAATCTTGCGGGATTCCCATTTTCGCTCATTCTGATTGGAAGGGAGCACTCGAGAGTCCCCAGCCCATTAATCGACAGTTTAAGAGTCCCGCGAACGATCGAAGATCGGACAAGGATTAAGCATCCTATCCAATCTCGAGGTGCTCGAGTCTTGATATATTCAAGAAGACATCTCGAGGGAGAAAAACAGGAAGCATCGCCGACCCATCGACGAAGTCAACAAACATTCGAGTTTTGTTTCGTCGCCTGTCTCGGGCTACACTTCGACTCACCATTATGGCTTAGTTTGGGCAGACATCCGCTCATTCTAGATGAACACAGTGGACACTGAGCGATGAATCAAACCGGAGTGCGAAGCTGTTTCTCACATCACTGTCGGAGCACTGTCTTCGATAGAGTTCAATGGACCTATGCAAGAACTTTTTCTAAATGCTGTACAAGCTCGAGGTAAACCGAAATTCCCTTTCCGTATTGACGTCACGACCACTCCCCGTTGACTATAACAAGGGATAGGAAATGAACACGGATCAGCTATTCAGAGAAAGTTCTCACCTTGTTTCTGGTTGGTCGGTGCAGTGGTCGGCGGAACCCAAGGAAAAACTTCACCACGGCGGGGGCCGCGGAGCGCTGACCATTTGGCGGACACACAATGTTTCCACACAGAATGCGAACCTCAAGTCTGGTCAGCAGTCTGAATCAGTTTTTCTGATTCCAGCGATTTATGATCCTTCATCACTGTTGAGTCCTGCTCGGATTCGAAGAAGGCTTCTTGTTCCAGGGAGCGGAGACCCTTCGCCGAGAAGTGACTCGATCAAATCAAAGGCGTGTTCGACGTGGAAACGTCTTCAATTTTACTTTCTTAGTGCGGAACATTTTGAAAAGCAAGCGAAGATTCGGATAAGCGTTCTCCCCGGGTGTCACAACTTATTGAGCTGGACGACTTGATTAAGGGTTTAATTACGGGAGATTGATCAGACAAAAGTCATGATGCACGGAGTTTGAGATGAGAAAAAGTTCGTGCTGGTCTCGATTTCGAATTCTCACTGAGTCGGGGGTCGCGGGAATGAATAGAGGATGTGATTCCCTCAGAAAACAACGTGAATGGCTGGAGTCTGGAGAAAGTATCAGAATGTTCAGCCTAGTCTCCTTATATAAAAGCGCCCCACAGCGATCACAGACGACGATGCTATCGACGAGCTATTCATTCATCGAGCATAGAGTATAGAGTTTCAGCATAGAAGGAAGCTGGAGCCCCCGTTGGAAGGGGAGCAGATTAGAAGAGTACTGATGCACTGGAAGGGAACGCACATACGAAGCATGCTTCCAGCCTGTAACGTCCTCGAGGAGAAGGTATGGGTGAGCGGACCGCGCCGGGCGCCATCGCTATGGGGTCGCTTTTTCCGACCATGTTTCATAGTTTCATGCTCGCAACAGTCGTAATCATCTACCAGCATAGAGGTTAATCCGCCGCGCTTCATCGCTTCCAGTGTCTCATGGACAGGGCGACTTGGTTATCCCTGCGTGTTCAATGCATGGTCAAGAACGTCACCTTAGGTTTCGAGGAGACGAGTGCTTCTTTCCATGGATATCGAGCATGGTTAGGAGGAGCGCCATTATCAGACACCGCACAGGGCGCCACTGCCTCAAGCTACTACTTGACGTATGAGGAGCCCTGTCCCTCACTCCCGCTGTCCCGAGAGTTCGCAAGGAGCATGAGACCCAATCTTGAAAAGCAGGACGGCGAGGAAACGGCAGATTGGAGATTCTGTGGACCGAGCCTCGGAGCGAGCTCACTAAAATTTCAGCGCGACACCGAGCGAGGGATAAAGCTGGAAACGCGTCTTCTCCAACCTCTCGAGAACCACGGTCAAAGAGATGAAATGGCGGCAGAACACTGCGTGCTTCGTGGCAAGCACAAGGGGGTCGGGCTGAAGTTGGAGAACTAACTGTGGCTAAAACTGCCGCATAGAATTCCTTCTCATATTTTTATCCTAATAACATGTATTCCGCGACGTATGAGATTCCGACTCATGCCATCGAAGGTTTTCATGCTCTGGGCCTCCGTCACCGATTACCGATTACTTTTCCCCTTGGCTGACGATACCCTATATCCGACACGATCCTCTTGGGATATGAGGCAGCTCTCTGGCCCTGGAAACAAGTCTGAGGGGTCGAGGAGCAGCGAAACTGTGGAAGAGCTGTTTTTCGGAAATTGAGGGTCGGAGATATCGATGACGTACATGATAGGACGGGGAGAAACGTTGCGGACACCTCTGAGATATGGAGACCACTTCCCGGATAAATAATTGTCTTTGGAGGCGCCTCTCGAAGGTGGCACATGACCCACGACCCCGGCAGGCCGTCTTCTAAGCACAAGCTGCTCAATGGAGGGATTCAAGCGTAGTCTTAGGTCACGGTCATCAGCCATAAATATTTTGGTGTAGGAATTCATGATTCGGGTTCGGATTTATGGAACAGTTTATTTCAGGGGCTCATTGTGGGAATGATTAGAAAACAAACAGAAGAAGCTGATTATTAGAATACATCGATCCTACACACGGACGTAATATCCCCCGTACTGGCTCGGTCCGGGTATGACATGCACGAGACGGCTACCGACTGGGCCGGCGATAACAGCCACTGATCCATCTTCTAGCAGGAGATACTGCCAGGATGGTTCGCCCTCGCGATCGTCCGGGCCGCTTTTCGGCAAGATCGTACCGTCCGGCAAAGCATGCCTGGAGAGACATCTGCTTGCGAACGGGCATATGCCCCGGCCCTGATCAAAGAGCTTGCATTCCTTCTTAGACAGAGCTATCTTGAAGCTTTCGATGAGCGTGCGCTTCCTCTCTCCCTCTGTGACGAAATACGCCGACGGAACTACTACGAAGGACTCCGTCCGGCATCCTGGACATCCTCTGGCGACTTTTGGGCAAACTGTTTTCGTCTTCCTCCACTGCCTGATGCAGTCCCAGCAGAAGACGTGTGAGCATTCCTCAAGAACGCCGAATATTCTCGAAGATTCTGCTTCCTTCTCGAGAACGACGTCTAGGCAGATGCCGCACTGGAGTTGGGATGATCGCGCGAGCAGCGAGGCCGACTTCTTTTGCTCCCGACAAGTCCTCCGGCACTCTTCCACATGCTGATCCGCTAGGGCAGGGTTGCTTGGGTGGAGGACGTACATGCTGCAAGTCTTACAGAGTCTACCGTGAATCGCTCGGCACTCCTTGATCCGACAGGCGCCGGAAATCATGTGCAGCTCGCACAACTTTACCGGAGCTTCATTCGGTTGAGCGCCGGAGGATGAGGGAGATGGCGCACTGTCGGCCTGATCGGAAACGTGCCGGTAACGGCAGCGCTCTCCGTGTCGGCACAGGCCTGTCTCGAAGTATCGACAGAGGGGCAAGATCCCCGTCGTCTTATCATGGGAGAATCTGCATCGGTTTCCGGCACGGCACGAATAAGAGAGGTAGTATCTGCACAAGATACTGCGGGGAGCACGACCAGCCATCCTACGGGTTTTTGAATTCTGATATCGAAGAGTCACGGAACAGAAGAACTGGGCAGATCCTTCCGGAGCAAGAAGCATGAATGAGAATCTCGTCGCAAAGCATGACTTTTTAAAGCGTGAAGGGCGAGATCTCTACATTCCAGCATTTCGCACCCTCGAGCTACTTCTGAGCCTCACCCCTCGCCCCAATCATGCTACAACTCGTGTTCCGATTTGCGGGATCGGTGGGGTCATCAGCGAATTCGAATTCGAATTCACGCTCGGTCATAAAAGACATCGGAATTTCATGGCCGAGCGGTGATGGGAATGCCATTCTGAGAAGTCATGGGAGCCCTTCCCATCGAAATCGTCCAGAGTCTTATGAACT